TCATCCAAGACCCATGATGATCATGTGAGAAGAATTATCAAGGAAGAATTAGAACGCGGTGAAAGAAGAGAAGAAAGAGAAGAATTCGAACTGGATGAAGAAAGAAGCGTGCATATTGTGATTCATGCGCCTCATCATCATTATTCTGAACATCGTCGCGAGCATGAGTTTAGGGAGGGTAAGCGAAGATTGCATGATATGTTAAGACGTTTTAAGATTGATTTTCGTCTGGAGGACAAATTTATTAGGAAATTAGAAAGGTTGGAGGAGTATTTTGTTAGAAAGGAGGAGTGTGAAAGATACACATATGATTAGTCTTTTTTGTTTTTGTAAATTTTTATTTATAAAAATTTATTATATTTTATAAATTTATTACATATAGTAAATTTAAATTTTTAAATAAAATAATTATTTGAATAATTAAATTATGAATCTTTTTTAATAAAACGTAGTCTTCCTTGTGAGTCAATAAGCAGATTTTGATATACTTCTTCTTGTTTTCTTCTTTCTTTTTCTGCTTCTATTCTTTCTTCCCAGTCGTTATCATCATCTTGTTTTCTTAATTCTTCTTCTTTCGGTTCTTCTTTTCTTAATTCTCCTTTTTTTTTGCTTCTTTTTTTTCTCAATTCTTCTTCTTTTTTTCTCAATTCTTCCTCTTTTTTCCTCAATTCTTCCTCTTTTTTTTCTTATTTCTTCTTCTTTTTTTCTTTTTTTTTTCTTTTTTTTTTTCTTTTCTTTCCTCTTCTCTTTTTTGTAATGCAAGAAAACCTTGATAAAAGTTATTTTCGCTTTCTTTTATTTTTTTATTTTCATCTATTAATTTTTGGTATTTATCTTTAAGTTTTTCAGTTTTGTTTTTTACATTATTCTTAAAATTATTAGAAGTTGGAGGTATTAAAATTTCAAGATAATTTAAAAAACTGTCTAGATATTTTTCAAATTCTGTTTCAGCGGTATCGTTAAATTCTTCTTTTTCTTTCCTTAATGCTTCATATTTTGGTACTAACTCTTCATATTTTTTTTTAATTTCAAGTAACGTGTCAA